GGAATACACGCAAAGCTCTGAGAACAAGGTGTGGCACACAGAGGCCCGATAAGAGCCCTGTAAGAAATCCTTATTTTTCACTCAATGCCTGACAGACAACAAGTCCCCAGTGTCTGTGGCTGTTACGGCAGACACACATCCCAGAACACAGACGTGATTTCCTTACCTTGACGGGGCAGGAGAGAGGAGTCCAGCTGGAGTCCAGGGTGTGGCCCACAGGGCTGGAGGACCTCCCAGACTGTAAGTCAGCCACACACAGCCTGAACTAAGGGCTTTCCCCAGCCCGGCTGGGGCTCAGGGTCACCGGCCGGCCATCTCGGGGCAGTGCCTGGGCTGCAGACCACAGTTTCCATGGGAGGAAGTGCTGCTTCTCCTTTTCCCCTTTCCCCTCCACTCCCCTCCCCTGACGGCTGGCCTAGGAGACCCAACTACCAGCCTCTGTGGCCCAGAGTGGGAAGAGCACGGCCGTATCCACTGTCAGTGTAAATCCAGCATCAGACTGGGCGGCCACCAGAGCTGGACTGCTGCTGGGTGCCCTGGGCTCTGGTCCACGAGCCCAGTGATGCCTCATGTGGGTGGGCAGAGCCCGGGGACCCCAGACTGGCATTTCCATCTCCTCTTTCCACCCATCAGCTATGTGGTAAGTGCAGGACATGAGGCATATGGTACATCCCATGATTATCTGCTTGCATTTATTCTGCAAGCCTGGAAGCTCCCTGAGGGCAGGGACCATGGCTGTACTGTTCCCATCTGTATCCCCAAGGCCCAGAACAGTCTGGTACCCAAATACTTCCTGACTGAAGAAATCATCATGTCTGCAAAGTGCCTGAAGCCCAGTGCCCGGCACATAGCAGGTGCTTAGTAGATACTAGCTGCCTCTCCCTGATACTGGGGATGACCACAGTGCTAGGCCTCCAGGAACTCTGGCACCTGTGACCTTTCTAGAACACTGCTTACAGTTCAAGCAGGGGAGGGCGTGAGAAGCTGGGTGTTAACAGAAGCCATGTGACGAAACCCACTATGATCCACATGAACACCCATGTGTCAGGCAGTGCACAGAGGCAGTGATGAATGGTCCATCTTATTTACTGCTTACAGAGACCAGGATGCCATCATTCACCTTGCAGATGAAGAACGGAGGCTTAGGAAGTGAAGCAGCTTGCTCAGGCCCAGGCCCAGAATGCTGGTGAGCAGCAGAACCGAGATTCAAACCCAGGACCTCCAGACTCCAGCGCCTGCCTCCCAGCCTGTCCCCGACAACCCAGAAGAGCTGCACACCAGATGGGCTGGGTTCATTCGTTGTCACCCGTAGCCACACTGGTTCCAGGCTGACCAGAGGGATGGCTTCTCCCCTCTTCCCAATGCCCTGCCTTGTAATCCCTTCCTTGGCCCCATGATTCCTCCCGGGGGCCCAGCTCGGGAGAACACTAGCTCCAACCACCCCTGAAGCCCCTCAGGGCCACCCCATAGCCCCAGATCACTGCGAAGCCACAACCAGAGTCAAGTTGAAAAGATGAGGTGGGTGAGTGGGAGGAAGGAGGGTCTGGAGCTGGACACATGGAATTTCTCGTAGGTGCTGCGTCCACCACTGGCTCTGATTTCCCGTGACCCTCTGCCCACATGGGCCTTGATTTCCCTTGGCCGCTGAACACACCTAAACGGGCGGCAGCCACAGAACTCCGTTCCCACCCAAGGGGGAGGAGGAGGAAGGCCGGGAGGAAGTGACTTGTGGTTTCCCAGGGTAACACCTGGAAACACTTCCGCAGGGACACAAAGGGAGACTTCCTCAGGGACACAGGAAGCTCCGGCCTGTCCCTGAGAGCAAGGAGAGGCAAGCTTTGGGCGGAAGCTCGCAGCACTCGGCTCTGTTGTGGGCCAGCCCAGGGGAATGTCTTGAACCTCTGACTTGAATGTGGAACCAACTGCAGGAGGAAGTCCCCGCCCACCAGGAAGGGCAGGGCTCCCTGGAGAAGGGCTCGTGGGTGCACAGAACCTGGGAGCAATCTGGTCCCAGCCCTTGCAAGAGACCAGCATTCTAAGCCCGCCACCCCAGGAGGTGACCTGTCCAGAGTCCCCACAGGGAGCTAGATCTGATTTCCTACAAGCCACTTCTCTGAGGAGCACAGATCCTGGAACGAGGACAAGAGGAGGGGGTGGTTGGCCCTGGGGTCCACCCCACACAATCCTGCCAAACTCAAGATTTCAAGGAAA